ATATCAGCAGTAAGTTTGAGATATTCTGGATGATCCTTAAAATGGAAGAAATTTGTGCAATTGTCCAACATTTTACAGCAAAGATTGAACAAATCGACCCAATGATCACAATCAGTTGTGGTATATTACATCATTTTTTTTCCTTCATAGCACTTACAATGTGACATATCTCTCTTTTTGCTTTCTTTGCCTTTTCATTTTTTCAGTTCCTTTTCTTCACTAAGAGCACAACTCATGTATTCCATTTACCACTCAGTCCCCAGAAAATAGAACAACATCTAAGACACACAGTAAAAAATAAATACGTTTGGATAATTGATTAGTTAATTTTCCCTGTCGTGTAGGTTTTGTGGTAATTTTAATAGGCAAGTACTGTACTTTATATCTCAGAATACCCTGACATGATCTTCAGTTCAAATATGATTGATCAATTCACTTTTTCTCAATTATACTATACTTATTCAAACTCCCATACCCTTATTCAGATATTTGTCCTGGTGATAAACATTCACCTCTCAACTTCAGGTCTTGTGCATTATTTGCCTTTCCTTGGAATCTCTTTTTCCATCTTATTGTGACTAACTTTTTACTGACACACGTTTTATATACATATGCTTGATGACTTTAGTGGTAACAGATACAGTCTAACACATTTTTCCTGCATTTTATCTGCTATGTGTAACAATATGCTCTGTCATAACTCTTGTCTGATAGTTGCTGTTTAACTCAAGTACTTTTAAAGAAGCTCCTTCATTAAAAGAGAAAATATTAATTAAACTATGCTTTTTTTTCAGTGACAGGTAATCCCATCATTTCCAAAGATAATCAACATTTAATATGTGTGTGCAAAGCTAGCAAGTCTAAGGTAAGCCAATTTTAATGGAGAGTGCTAAGAGCAAGAACAGGTTATTAATGATAAAAAAGACCTAATGCTTTGACTTAAAAGTGATGTACAGGAAAGTGGAGTACATGTGTCATGAGTGGCAACATGTTCTCCAATATGTTTTTTCCGTTTGGATGCATTGTGATAATGCCCACAGTAGTCAGCATCATTCCCTTATCTTTCTCTTTTCCCCAGCCAGAAACCATCATTGTATATTGATCAATCCCATCCACCAGGTTAATTCTTAGACTGACTTCTTTTACCCATTCTTCTGCATAAACAGAGATAATTGTTTTTATCCATAAACTTTGGCGGGGGGCAGCGGCTGGGAATCACTTACATTTGAAAGACATCATAATGTAGTGAAACAGCACAAAAACACTGTGCTGTTTTTTAAAAGAAATGGAATCATAGAAAACTTTCCCAAATTCCTTAAATGTCTCATCCACATGTATAAAATTAGGATACTAATGCCCATTGTACATGTGTTTGTTCATTTATTCATTCATTCAACAAATATATATAAGGTTTTTCCCTATGTATATATGTGTGGTATGTTATGGAAATGAATAAAGTAAGGATGAAGGACAAGAATTAAAATGGTGTTTAGTGGGGTTGAGGAAGATGTTCTCAATCCTTAAAAATAAAGATTAGTTGCTTAAATTTCAGGACTATGCTATGCGAGGACCAGTTCTATGACTTTCTCCAATCACTAAGCACCAATTTCAGTGTCTGAAAGATTATTAGTATTAGTTAAATATTTGAGTTAAAACAAAAGATAATTTGTGTAATAGTGTTTTTAGTCCCTGAACCATTAAATAAAGAAACATTTTTATTACAAATTAAGACTCATCAGAAAATTGGAGTAAAGTACTCTTGTTTTTGGCTACTGATTCCTGAATGAAGAAAAGATGGGAGGAGAAAATATTCAAATGGAAATAAGTTATGTTAATAAGGGGCCCTGTCAAATGATTAAGAGATGCCTAACAAAGTCTGTGGATTTTATAAAAGGAAGAAAATTTTGTTACAGCTATCTCTTTTTTCTGCACTTCCCTGTTTAAATTTTGCTGAGTAATTTTACATGTATTTATAGGATATACAGAAAGGGAAGCAAAGGAGAAGCAAAAGTAGGACTAAATGTTATCAGAGAATTTTTCATCTTGCAATTCTTTGTATTTGTGCTGCATGCTTCTGCCACCAAAAAGTTATGTTTGGAGAAATGCAAATAGAGACAGATACATATTTTATAGTACATAGATATAGGCATAAGTCCCTCAATTTGTGGTGGATTTACCAAAGACCAAAAAAAAAAATGATAAATTGCATTAAGAGGAAAGAACCAAAGGAAATTCCAGAGCCTCAGATAAAAGAAAGAAATAATATATCATCTGAGGTTTACTCATTTCATACGTATCTTCTTCTGATGCCAAATTACTGTTCCATGCACTTATAAAAAGCACTTAGAAACTGTTTTTGCTAAAAGTCACTGACTCCTCACTTGGGCCCACAAATTAAAATCAGGAGAAAAATGTGGCTTCCCTGACTCCATGTAAATACTTTACTTTGAGTCTCTTTTCTGCAATCCCTGGTTGATAACATCTTGAACTGCCCCCAAGCAATGGAACAGCAGAGCCTCACAGAGCAGAATACCCCCAAATGAAGACAATCACTATAATGATGAGTCTACACTCTGGAACAGGAGCAATCATCTCATGGGAACCAGACTGCTCCCCTCTAATGATGTCAGCAATAACAACTTTTCCAGAGCCCCTTACAGAATCAGAACTGAGATAATGACCAGGCCACACTTTGCTGGGGACTGTTTAATCATCCATACTTCTCTTTTCCTGTCCCAGTTTTTTCTCTATTTAAGCCAAAAGCTTGTGTCTGTACCCCAAAGATAGACTGAAGTGTTTACTTTGCCTCTTCCTGAGGTGTTCCCATGCCACGTAATAAATCTCCTTTCTACATGCTCTTTATTTGGCCTATAGGGGCGAATAGCAGGATCTGACATGCGGAACCACTGCAACTGGACCTTTGCCTATAACTCCGGTTACATGCTAACGGATCAAGAAGTAACCTGGAATGTTCCTGGTGGTTTATAAAAATAAAAGGTACACTTTCATAATTAAATCACTTGCCTAAGACCCAGAGAATTCAATTCAACAAAGCAAGATAATTGTTATGTTTAGTTGTTTGTTAATGAAAAAGAAAATGTGTACAACAGTATACAATGTTTCCAAATGTTCTCAGATCACAGTTACATATTCCACTTAATTTAAGTGATTAAATTTTTCAGAAGTTACCTATTTCATTAGAACAGAGTAAAACTATTGAAAAACATGTCACTTGAACTATAACCTCCATATCCATTTTTTTATTTCTTTGTCTTTTTTATTTCTTTAAGTGTCTTTTACTGTTTCTGTACATAATTAAGGAAAAGAAACTAAGATAAGTCAACAACAGAAAGAACAAGAAACAGAAAGAAAAAAGCTTCAGAACTCAGTGCATAAAAAGATGTGGACAAAGGAAGCAAGGGAGGGTCAAGGTCAGGCTTTGCTGGAAGATTGGGGTCATCCTGCACTATCAAGAAAAGGAAGAACCCTCTGACTGAAGCAGAAGTAACAGGAATAGAGGTAGTCATAGATGAATGGTAGAAGAATAGCCTGAATTTATACTGCTTATTGTTGAAAAATCACTATTTTACCTGAGATAAGAAGTTTGAGAACAGAAGCTGCACTGGGAATTTAAGAAACTTATTTCTAGTACTTTTATGAGATTTCATGTTTATTTGAAATAAGATTCTTTTTATTAAGGATTGATTTATGGTGCAAATATTTGGATTATGCTAGGTTTGGATTTACAAAATAAGACAATGTCTTTCCTATCTATTCTGTTTACTGTATTCTTTGCCTCACTCTCAAAATAATTTGAGGTATATAGGGAAAGAAAAATTAAAATATAGGATTATTTTCAGTAAATTAACAAATAATCCACAGTGAGGCAAATAAGGAGGAGGAAAAGACATGTACAAGACATACCAAAGGGAACAGTAGGAAACAAAATATTCGCCATGAGAGTCCCTGTGATTCTGATACTGAAAAGTCAAGTCTAAGATTCTCTTAACTGAAGAGCAAAATAGAAATAAGATCATTTGTAAGACAAATGCCTATGAATCACTCAGAAGAGAAACTTTATTGACCATGTAGGTTTAACAAAGTTAAATGTTTTATAATTATATAATAGCCACCCACGCTACACAACATCCTCATTAATATTCCTAAAATGAATATATCAGCTAGCTTTGTATGGATGTTCTTATAAATACTTACAACATAAGCCAAAACAATCATTTAAAAGCCCATTTCATAAAGTTAAATGTGTGGGATGCATATTTATATCCAAAAATACTCTTCCCCATAAAATTCTTTATCTAAGCACTACTACACTTGGCGTTAAATAATGTCCTTGAAATTAAGATTTTTTAAATTAATTCTAGGAAATTAATTTTAAAGTGCAAACATTATCAAAGAGAAATATGTTAAGTCACCAGCTCTGTATTGTTTCACGTTTCTTGATTGCTGTCCTTCAATGCCCAAATCTAAATATATGAGACTTGCCTCATGGTGTCCTCAAGTTTTCAAAAAAATTGATTTACAAAAATGCAAGAGTTTGAGTGAATTCAAGGTGAGAGTTAGGAATGGTTGCTTCTAACATAAGTGTATGAATATCTACCTTAGTACCACATCGAATCAATTAATATTAGATTTATTCCTCACAATGCTGTTATTTTTATCCATGAATTTTCATTAGAAATCAGTTCATTTAAGCAATATGTTTTTAACTTTTCTAGGGTTAAGATGAAGCATGAACTTTTGTTCTTTGGAAGAACAGACATGATGGAACATCCTTTCCTTCAAAGTTAAAGATAAGAAACAGGAAACAAATACCATATCTACTCCTTTACCACACATTGTTATTATTTTGGTGTTTTTATGTTCAAGGTCCATGTATCTCTGAGCAACCATGAAAGAGCTTCCTGGAAAACAAGACAAACACACACACACACACACACACACACACACACATGTGTCTAAGCTGAAATGTTCTACCCTAACCGGGAGAGGAGGATCACATGCTGACAAACACTGAAATTACAACATTGGACACTGCATTTCGCAAAGTCATTGAACTTTGAGCTCACTTGCAGTCCAAGGGAAGCCATGCAGGATGAAGACGGATACATCACTCTAAATATTAAACCTCGAAAACCAGTTCCTACCTCAGGTAAGAAGGTCCACAGCCAGGAATTTGGAAAGTAATTAGAAAAATAGGTCAGTCTTATTTTGTTATTTTTTCTTCAGTGATGCTCTTTCCCTGAAGCATTTGAGCAGTGTCTGCGTTGACTCAAATGCAGACATACTTAGAATATCAATAACAAGGATAATGGCAGGTGCCATTAAATTAACTTTTAGAATTTAATGTTAGGGTCCCAGAGGCCAAGGGGAGAAGGAATATTTGAAAACTACATTTTCTAAATGCTAGTTAATGGATATGATTCTCCAGTGGTTGCTTACTAAAGGAAAGGCATAGACAACTAGGTGAGGCCTTAACAATGTTATATTTTGGATTAGAAAGGGAAAACCCATTGTGAATGGAAATAGATGTGTGGCATGGGAGTAGAATATGCTTACTGCTGTTTATCATCAAGGGAAGGCAGAGATGATCTGTTCATGCTGCTGTTTATAGTACGTGGAAAACCCTAAGGCAGGGAAAGGGGTGACACCTCTGTCTGCTCTTTGACGTATTTATTGTAATACCTACAGATGACCCTGCTTCCTCTTTTTGGTGGCGTGTGATGGCTTTAATTCTGCTGATCTTGTCTCTGGGGATGGTCATTGGGCTGGTAGCTCTGGGAATTATGTGTAAGTATTGACTTTTTGCCAAAGATTTGATTTGAGGAAGGCAGTACTTAAGGGTCCTGGTGTGTCCTACTAACCTACCTGTCACTACTTGTCTCGTTACAATTATTCCAATTGTCCTACACACAGCTGCCAATATGTTTATTCTCAATAATGGAGAACTTTGATCTTTCCCTCTGATTATAATTACTTTTAAGTTTCTTTACCAATTAAAATGATTTTCAAAATTTAAAACTGGCCTTTAAGTATGGATCCAAACTATCTTTTGCAATGTTTTCTTCTCTCATTGTCTCGCATATTCTAAGACCCAGCCAATGCAGGATTTTCTTAATTTCATAACTATATCTATGTCTTGCTGTTTGATGTGATGCTCCATCTAGTTCCTTTATCTAAAATTTCTTCTTTCCCATTTTGTTCACTGAAATACTCTTTTTCTGTTCCTGTAAGTCCAATAATTATAAGTCTATTCCTGTAAATCTAATTGTAAGGGTTTACAGTGTCACATTTTAGTTTGTATAGTTATTGCTTGTTTGACTATTTTTATAAGTTATGTTAGAAGCTATCTTTCATCATGTTTTATTTACATGAATATCACAGTATTTTAAGCATAACAAGAATTCAATATGCATTCTTAAATGATTTAATATTTTGTTATTACATGAAGAGCATAAAGTAACTGAGGTCACTCACTTCTATGAAGTCTGCCTAAAAACATGTACCTAAGAAAATGTGATTTATTGGTGATTATCTCCTTCAATAACTTCCCCCATTTTTACCACTCATTTACTCATGTGTATCTAGTAAACTCTTCAGATTTTAGTAATTCTGTGGAAATGAAAGTTGATTTGCAAGATTCTTATATAACTTTTACAATGATGTCAATTACAAATTTTAATTTATGTAATTTTTTACATCTAGCTTTCACACAGCAAAATTACCTGCGAGCTGAGAATGAAAATCTCTCAGGAACTCTGCAACAACTAGCAAAAAACTTCTGCCAAGATTTAATAAGACAATTAGAACAAAAGCAAAGGGGCAGTTACGGTAAGTATGGATTGGTAACCTCTTTATCTAATGAACTCTTGAAGTATTTCTGTGATGGTAACCGAAGGACAGGAAACACAGCATATGAGGGAAATGCAAGCCAGATTTAGAGTGAAGTGGTCCTGATACTTGCTTTCTCCTTCAGATCATAAATGCAGCCCTTGTGACACAAATTGGAGATATTATGGAGATAGTTGCTATGGATTCTTCAGGCACAACTTGACATGGGAAGATAGTAAGCAGTTCTGCACTGACAAGAATGCAACTCTTATCAAGATTGCCAACCAGAATATTCTGGTAAGGAGAATCTGTGTCAAATATTTTGGATGCAAAAAAGAGAAAAATCTCAAACGTAACATTTGACATTTTTTTCTTTTTATTGGGACTAGGGTTTGAACTCAGCTTTGCGCTTGAAAAGCAGGTGCTCTACCACATGAGCAACACTTCCAGACCATTTTACTCTGGTTATTTTGGAGATGGGGTCTTGTGAACTATTTTCTGGACTGGCCTCAAACTGTGATCTTGATTTCACCTCCCAAGTAGCTGGGATTACCACAGTGAGCCACTGGCTTATTTAAAAAAAAAAACAAAATTTGTTCTTATATCTTCCAGTTTGCTCTAATCTAAGAAAGTTATCAAGCTTAATAAAAATTGCAGAACTCAAATATTCAATCTGGGCATGTTTCACAGGATCACTATCACTAGACAGTAAAACTGATATATACCTTTTTAAGGGCTATAGTGAGTCAGCTCGTGAACATTCATGATTCTGTATGCCCTGTTATTCTGACTTTCTGCACCATCTGCTTATGCTTTCTATAAATTAGACACATAGAGATATTTAGATATACAAATTAACTTTTCTTTGCACTCAGGCAGACAGAGGAATGCCCTAAAATCTCAACTTCAGGATACAGAGGTTAATTTGAGACATATAAACATGTTCTGGATTTTAATGACACTTATTACTATCTTGTTAGGCTGATGCCAGGTTGGAAATTTGTAACTAAGAGAAGTAATATAATTTTTGAGAAATAAAGAATAGTTGAATTTCAGGTGGAATTTAACCATCAGGTCTTAAAAGGAAGTATGCTTTGTGGATATGTTTTAAAGAAAAGGTCAGGAATTAAGAATTAAGGAGCAAAAAGTGACATTCACACAAGATTGCCTCTGAGATATCATTCTGAATCTCACATGCCTGTCAAGAAACTCAAGTCATTTTTTATTTTCCAATAATGGGTTTTTATCTGTTATTCTAGGAGGGTAGAGAGTATATGAACATTTCATCTCCTTTTTAATTTTGTTGCCCAGAGATTTATTGCCTACTCATCTATTAGTCAACAAATATGTGCTGGAACACACAGGACCTGTTCTTATGAAGTTAATAAAGCACATAGATACTCCTAACCTCCAGAAGCTTGTATTCTAGTTGGGGCAGCAATGAATTTAAAAATTGAGGTTAGCATATAGGACAATAGTGATAACTGTTGAGTAGAGAAAAGTATATCAGAGCTGGATGTGGTGGTACACATCTATAATCCCAGCAGGCAGAAGGCTGAAGTAAGAGGATTGTGAATTTGAGACCAGCCTGGGATACCTAATAAAAGAATAAGAAGAAGGAAGAAGAAGGAGGAGGAGGAGGAGGAGAAGGAAGAGGAGGAGGAGGAGGAGGAAGAAGAAGGAGAAGAAAAGAAAACAAAAATTGGGAAAGGCAGTTGTATGTATTTGTAAAATTCTTTAACGAAGCCATCAGATACTTTTCCTTTATCCAATCAACTAAAACAAATTAATATTTCTATATGTAATCAATAAAGCCAAGGCAAGTAGAGTTTAATTCTAAAGACTATAAACAATGAAATTCTTTTTGTTTTCTTTCTTTTGTTGCTTAACATTTGAATCATATTTGGTAGTATATTTGGGACTTTAATTGCTGGGAAATGTGAGTATATAATATAAACAAATATGAAGATTAGAATACAATTTTGTGTATAATTTTTCTTGTGTACTATAAGCTCTTTTATATTTGAAAACAACTCAGCTTGTTACAGTTCTAAATGTCAAATACATAATATATTTGTATAATACACATATAATTTATATAATATACATATATAATGTATATATATAATATACATAATATATTCTCCAGCTCATGTGGGCAAGGTCTTATTATAAAGCTCTGTGTTAGTCACATCCAAGAGCTGTGGAGGCATTCTGACCCTTATATTTATTTATGTTCTAATAGGAATACATCAAAGCCAGGACTGTTTTAATTCGTTGGGTTGGATTGTCCCGCCAGAATTCTAATAAGATCTGGATGTGGGAAGATGGTTCAGTTCCTCCCAAAAATATGTAAGTCACTGGACACTCAGAATAAAAGGCACTACTAGTTAGATTTATTCTAAGATCTTTCCTGTTGAGTACAAATTACTTAAAAGTTGAGATGTGTTTCTTACTCTACTGTCGGTTTTATAAGCAACAGCTGTCATTTAAACCCTGTTTGTAACCAAAGAAGCTTGATAAATAAAAGCATCTTACTTCTCTCTCTCTCTCTCTCTCTTTCCCTTTATCTAAGCCAATAGTGTTCACATTTATTTCTAAGTCTGGCTTTACCTTTGGAATATCATGTGTGTGTAACTTGATCTGATTATCTTCACATATTTTAGAACAAAATTATCATCCTCATTATTTTATGGTTGAAAGTTATTACCTTAAGGGTTTTCTTAACTTTTCAGTATCATTTTGTCTGCCTTAGGAGTCTCCAAGAATCAGGTACATTGTAGGACACAAAGCAATTGTAATGTTCATGTCATGAGACTCCATCCATCTGCTTTAAGACCTGAATTGTTTAATATTACTCTCCAGTCTCTAAACTCACCACCCTTCGTTCATCCTATGTGTTAAGATTACAGTCTTTCTCCAACTAAAATAACAACTGATAACCAAAACTTAAACAATCTTATTATGTAAATTGTGAAGTTATTCAAATTTAAATATTTAACAAATATTTGCTTTGGATGGGATCTTAGAATACCACAACTACATGCGAACATCTTTCAGATCTTGGGCTTTGTCTACTGGCTGCCTTATTCAAACATTGCAGTAGGAGTGGTACACTCTCTGGTCTATGAAAAAGTCAAGCTGGGGTGAGGGGCAGCTGTTGTTTGTTTTTTTGTTTTGTTTTGTTTTGGCTTATGAGTTTTGTACTTCTGGGTTTGTTTGCTTTTGGTTTGGGGGTGTATTTTATTTTCCCTTAGAATATTCAATCTCTATGACTCTATGACTGGCTCACCCTTGTGAGTTAAGTCTGTTTAAACATTAATTCTTTAGAGAGGCCAGCTCTAATTGCCCAAAGTAAATTAGCCTCCCTTTGACTAACATCCATACAGTCTATCATATCTTCATTGTTTTTGTTTCTTCATAATTTTTACCACTCTGAAATTTCTTTGCCTGTTTATTTGTAGGTCCTTGCCAATATCCATCCACTGTAATGTAATGTATGTTGTCTTCTTTACCCTTCTACCCTCCACACATCAAATAACCTCATCTCATGATTGGTGTTTCATAGCTATTTGACAAATAATGTAATAAATATACATCAGCAGAGAACATAAAAGCTAGTGGACAATTACAATGTAGAATGCTACATTAGATTCATCTCTCAATAATGTAAAATCTCTGCTCAAAATATTTGATCAACTTTCTTTTCCTTGAACATTCTCCATCTTGTGTAGCAGCTGGCCCTACAGGAGCCTCCAGTTTCTCTCTGTATCTAAATCCTACTCTTCCTTCAATACACAATCAAACCCTGAACTTGTAGATACAGCCTTTTTGCAGCATTTCAAAGCCAAATCTACCTGTTCCTTACTCTTACTATGTAATATTCACTTGCTCCTTCATCTTACACTATATTAATTTGCTATTGAGCTTTTCAAGTACACATAGAGTATACTTTGAAGAAGCCTGGAAGTTTCTCACAATTGAGAACATCAACTTGTTTTATTTTGTTTCTACATTTTTCCTGGAGTCTCCAGTTTGTGCAACAAAGTCCTAAACACAGAGTTTGACTGCTGCTTGTTTATTCACTTTTCAAAGGAACACACTCTGTTTTATTCACAGGCTTGACCTTTCTGGAGATAGAAGAGAAAATATGAATTGCGCTTATTTTCATAATGGGAAAATCCGCCCTACCTTCTGTGAGGACAAACATTATTTAATGTGTGAGAGGAAAGCTGGCGTGGCAAAGGTGGACCAACTACTTTAATGCAAAAACAGGGACAGGATATCAGACAAATGTTTGATTGTACAATAAATGATCTGAAGGAAAGAAGTCCCTAGCACAAAATTGCTTATTTCAGCCTTTCTTCCCCGTGGAGTCATTTTTTTATATTATCTTTACTTCCAACACCATTTGCCCAGCCCTCTACACATGCAGAAGCCAACATGTGAGTTTGTTTTTCAATTGTTAAATTTTTCATTAATTTTCTTCATGCCTTCCATTTCTACTTTTCTAAACATACTGTGATTCACTAGGTCTTCAGATATATGCATATAAAAGTAAAGTTAGAACAAAAAGGTTAATGCTTAATTGACTTAAGCAATTCAAAATATCTAAGTGAGGGTGAGAATGTAGCTCAGTGGTTTGGTGTTTGCTTAGCATGTACAAGACCCTAAGTTTGATCCCCAGTACCACAATAAAGTAAAATAAATAAAAGAATAATTCAAACTATCTAAGTAATAAAGACAGCATAAAGTTGTAGAAATAATACTAAGTTTGGAATCAGTAGAATAATTTAGAAAGCAAACCCATAAACCACTTCTGCATCTTCCCTAACTTTCATTTTCTTATATTCAAAATAGGTTATTAGTCATTTTAAATACCTCACCTAAAATAAACTTCAGAGCTTTATTTTATTCATATGTAAACATTTTATATAGCTGAAAGAAAACTTCAGAGTATTAGTTATTATCAGAAGCTAAATGAGAACCTTTACCATGACTTCTCTATTCACATTAGAAAATAGCCTAATACGTAAAACACTATCCAATGAAATTACTATTCCAAGTCCACCTCTGATCAGACTCAACCACAGCAGTTTTCTTTGCAAAAGAAGAAAGCAAAGTTTGCAAGAAACCTCATGGGGTTTGTAAAATGAGTAAATGCTTCTTATCAAGCCCCAAAGTTCAGAAGATAGAGAAACAAGTAGAAATGCTTCATCGGGTTCTTTTCCTAACAGTTCTATGTTTGACTTTTGCTGAATAACTCTGGGAGTATTTATAGAATGTGTGGTGAGGCTCCCTTAACAGGATAACAGGCAAAAAAAAAAAATGCATTTTTTTTCCTACAGCTTCCTTTCTTTAACTAGTAAAAAATACAACTTATAAACATGATTCTCAACCCGCTCAACTGACATGTTTGTATAAACACGGAGATGTCCAAACACAAATAGTGATGGCAGGCAGGCAGAAAGCTAAGGAGAAACAAAGACCTGTCGATAAACAAACACTTCCACGTGATTCGGATACAAGTAGTCTTTAATAGATTTCAATAAACATTGCAGTAGAACTTTTTCCTTATGTGGGTTTTTGGTAAGTAATTTAGTCTCTTTAAAACACAATTTCTTCATCTATGAAATGACTTTAATGTTATTACCTTATCAAGAAAGTAACTGTGAGAATCACTTGATATAATTACATATTGATCATAGCATCAGGCTGGTAATAAATACTCAGTGAATATGTGCTACTTTTGTAGCTTTGTGCACTGACACCCAAGGACATTTGAATCTTTATCTTTTCTTATACTGTGAGTAAGCAAGCAGATTTAGGAGACTTCAGGAAAAGAACAGAAATTCTTCAAATTCTGCTTGCATTTCAAGGGTGTAGAGACTTTGGCTTTGGGAGATGTGGAGTCAGATGTGGATCTAGAATTTGAACACAAGACCTTATGCATCTTACATTTAATTGTTTATTTAGAGAAACCAAATAGGAACTGGAAAATTGTCCAAAAATTAATAGTATCTCTGAGACTTTAGTGTTTCATCTCTCCACAATGCAAAAGCATTTGTTTACACATCATTGTGTCATGCAAAATTTTTATTATTATTATGCTGGGTGGGGGTATATTGGAGTATTTGCAAAAGTTCTTGCAATGTATCAAATATATCATATTTGAATTCACCCCCCTCTGCTGCTCTTTTTCATCCCTCTTCCCTCAATTCCTGGAATAGTCTCAAAAGATATCATTTTTGCCAATTTTAATGTTTTGGTGGTCCTAGGGTTGAGCACAGGGTCTTGTGCTTGCTAAGCAGGTACTCTACTACTTGAACCAACCTCTAACACCTTTTGCTTTCAGTTATTTATCAAATAGGGTTTAGCATTCTTTTACCTGGGCTGGCCTAGACCTCGATCCTCCTATTTACACCTCCCAAGTAGCTAGGATGACAGGCGTGAGCTACAGTATATGGCCTATCACACTCAAATTTAGAAGAATAATATCTTATATATGGCTAAACACAAATAAAAAATGTAAGTCAATCAAATATGCCTATGAAAATTCTTTTATTTTTCTGGTACCTATATTTAAAGCATCTTATACATGAAATCAGAATAGTATAGATGCTGTGATGAGACTACTCAGTTTCAGTTACTAAATGTGAAACTTACTAAGTAAAATTCATCAAAATTTAGCTTCTCGGTACCTCAATTTACAATTAAGTTATACTATATTAATAGTAGCAGCTATTTTGGAACTGTTTTGAGCACCAAAATAATTCACGTGAAAGCCATGGGTACAGTGAATAATAAATAATAGGTAACATGATTAAAAATACCAAAAGCAACATAAATAACATATTGATCTTTTATTGGGAGAAGCCAATGGCTATCCCAAAGGAATTTATGAGAGAATATACTGTGCTTGGGAAAACTGTATCTTTCTGCACCTGATTTTTACTGTTGATAAAATCTGAAGAGCGAGTAGAAATGCATAACTGCTGTTGGAATTTTCATCCCCAATATTAGTCTCAATACATATTTGGCATTATTATAGTTTCTTTATCTTTTTCACCTCAAGATAGTGATTCTGAAAATTTATTCCTCTGAACTTGATGTCAATTCACATATAGCATAAGCAAACTTTTAGAGAAAAGGAAGTAAGGGTTTATTAATTTTGCAAGGAAAATGAGGAGGACAAAAACTCAGTCTCAAAGCTGTTGTCCTTCCCACTAGGGAGGGGGAAATGGGCTTTTAAAAGAAAATCTAACAGTTCGGGCTTCTGGATGTACCTGCTGAGAGGCATGACCTTGAGCCAGAAGGGAACCTTGAGTCTATGTATTTCCCCATATACTAGTGCTAGATGCTGCAGCTGTATGTCTTGCTGTTCGGAATATTCCTTCACTCCCAGTGTCAATGAGATAAAGAGAGGCATGTGATGACTTTGCCCAGAACTGAGAAGATGTTTTTGAGTTCCCTCACATGGGAGAATGGGTTGTGGGAGAAAAGACAAGAAGAAGGAAAAGAAAAGAAAAATGTCTGTTTAAAGCTTGCATAATTGAAGGCTGAGAGCATGGCTCAGATGTCAAGCACCTGCCTAGCAAGTATGAGGCCCCAAGTTCAAACCTCAGTACTACCAAATAAATAAATAAATAAAACTTGTGCAATTAACAGCAGGCTGACTAGTAAGGTGAATTAGTTACAGAGCTGAAATTACCATTGTGAACATATCTAGGTGTCTGCTTCTGTTACAATAGAACCTAGCCCACATAAAAGGTGGTATGGAGGCACCTTATTTATCCAATTAGAATCTTGGGCCACAGGAACATCATATGGAGTATTTGAGGAATGTGCTGGATATTTTTCATTTGTCACTGAAGACCCCCTCCTTATGCCTTAGAAGACTGAACTCTGCAAGCTCAACCTCTGGCTTCCAGTTAATTCAGCCAGTGAGAGGTGCTGATAATGATCAGAAGTAGAACACTGATTCCAATTCTGGCTCTCTCTCTACAGTGCCTTGGTTTGGCAAAGGCTGCATTTCTACATCTTTATCCATGGCCCTGGTGAGTCAGGTCACAAAGTTCCAATAAACACTCTGCACTTAGTCTTTAAGCCCTGGAGGTGATAATAGCTTCCCAATGCATATTTCACTACCCTTCCTCTCCCACACCCTGCCCTTTCTGGCTCTCTTACTAACCTTTTTGAAAACTTTAGTCCTTTTGGCATGTTCCCTTGGACTACCCCCTTGAAAGTTTACTTCTGGGAACCTGACTATAGTAAAGAACAATGATTGATCCAGTGAGATACTGAAACAAAAAGAACATTGCAATTTTGCAGAATATTGGGACTCATAGACTATAAATTACTGAGAAAATTGTCCTTGGCCATAAGAAGTGGCCAAAAGATAAATGATAATTAAGGAATCAAATTTCTCAATATTAATGCTGTAGTCACAGGATGTGACAGAAATGGCCAGCTGTCCACTCAATAATTCATGTCTCCCTTCCAGAGTGAAGTTACTGAAAGCTTACTTCCCAGACAAAATTTACATTTTCAAGTCAAACCTTTAAATCCAAATGGGCATGCCATTAGTATTTCTAGGTTATGGCTCTCATGAAGCAAGTGTGATTTGTCATCTTCTCTTTTTCTTTCTAGTGTCCCACATCATGGAAGAAACCCAAGTTCCATTAGGGAGAAAGCTATCCACCATCCAAGATTACTGGAGCTAAAATGTTACGTGAATGAGATGTGAACTTCTGTAATAGTGATTGATGTTTTGAAGTTTACTTATCATAGCAGCTAGCATTACCCTATTCAAGGCAAAGAATGAAATTCATTTTGGGACTAAAATCCCTTCCTAGCTTTCTTGTTTAAAAAATACAAAGCTTTCTACACCCTGGTTTGCACAATTTAAACTATATTCATATCCTCATTACCTAAATCATCTCTGTGCTTCATATCCTATATCAAATAGAAGTGCATTCTTTACACTGATAAACTGTTCACTTTGATACTAATCAGTGCTATTATCTTTGAAATCTGCTGCCTTTTCAAAGTCATTGCAATAACATCTCCTAGACTTGGGCATGCTCTGTTCATTCCATTTTCATTTCCTTCTTTACCATATGTTTGTCTTAAATTTCAAAAACTTCCACTTTCTGGATGAAGATACATCTGTCCTTAAACCCAGGTATATTTCTGCAGTAGTGTGGAACGTAGCCAATTTTAGGGTTTTTTTTTTTTTTACCATCCTGCTCTTGTGTAGACTGCTTTACTTATTAAAACACCTCAGACATGCATGAGGAAGAAATATACACCTCTCTTCAGTGGGATAATCCACCATCAAACCCTTCTCAGAAATGTCTGTCTTCCAACAAATGTTCAGGTAACCAATTCTAATTATTTACTGGAAGACTAGAATTTCCTTTTTCTTTCTTGCTCTATGATGAATTCACAACATTTCTTCTAATCAGAGATAACCTACTTAGGTAATTTACTGTGCTTGATACACTAAGTGATATAAATTGGAGGAGTGATTAAAATTGAAAAAGGAAAAGAGTAGTGGGCAATAAATATGTGGCTCTCCCTGTCTCTCTCTCTCCCTGTTCCTCTCCCTCCTTCCCTCCTTCCCTCTTTCTCTGAAAAAGAAAAGTAATTCCCATGTAATTTTAACTATTTTTGTTCTTGCATAAAATGCTTAGTAATTTATCTGATAACTAACTAAGTAATAGAGAAAAAAGGTTGAAAATATGGCAAAATCTCATCATCTTGGAATTATTTGCTATAGTAATCAATTATATTTTCATTGTTTAATATATGTACTCATTTCCTTTTGCTGGTTTAACAAATCACAGACTTAAAGTATTTATACAACACAAATTTTTCACTTTGCAGTTTTAGAAGTCATAAGTTGAAATGAATTTCATTTTGCCAAAATAAGGTTTTGGTAGCGTTCTAATGACAAAACCCATTCTCTTGTTTTTTGTATATTGTAGAGCTGCATTTTTTACTTGTTTTGCTTCTTGGTTCATTTCTCCATCTTCAAGTCTAACAACATTCATCTTCACATGTTACTCTGCTTTAAATCACTGTACCATACTCTACCCCTCTAATCTCCTCCCTATTACTGATAAAGACCCAGATATTCCAGGGTGACTACCCACTTCAGACCTCTACCTTAACACCATCTTTAAAGTCTCTTTGTCCACAAAAGATTCAAGGGATTAAGGTACAGACATCCTAGGCAGAGTATTATTTAGCCATTCACAATATCTAAAACTAAATTTTATTTATTTTTCTCTGATTAGTGTTAAGATACGCTTTTCATTTTTCCCTCTGGAGAGTTAGAAACCTAGCTGGAAAAAGTTGTTCATCAGATTGTTGTTTTAAAACAAATATATTTTAATGAGTTATGTTCAGGTGACTTTGAAGAGATGGGAGAATCTTGCTCTCAAAAGTCCACGATTGCTACCCTCTTGTTATAATTCTTAAAGAATGTTGAAAAAGAACACATATAATTAGTAAGGTTATAACATTTTACATAAGAATTAGAGGTATATTCTACTAAATCACTTAATTTGGTATTTTCCAAATCATATGCATTCCAAGTTATAACTTTCATTTTAAAGTTCAAGCAAAGGTCCCCTTTTTCCTGTTACACAAAATTACAAGCTTTAAGCCTCAACGATTCTGCAGCAGGAATGCCAATGTTAGTTCTTTCTTTCATTCAGTCTCATCTCACCCCATTCCATTCCTGTCATGTTCTTTCTCTAACGCTATGTCCTTTGTCTCTATTCCATGTTTAGGGACATGGTGTACTGTGACTGTGATTTCCTGTATTTTGTGCATGGGCTTATTAGCAACATCCATTTTCTTGGGCATCATGTGTAAGTACAAAGGCATATCTTCAAAATAATCTAGTTATACTTGTTATGATTTACATATCTAATGATATATATAATATAACGTCAAAATGTGTAAGTGGATGAAGAAGTCGATAACTATGAATAGGTATACTTGTTTATGTGATATGAAGTAAAGGCTTTCTTATTTAAATTCTAACACATTTACTTGGTATAACTGAGCTCTTGAATGCAACATATAACCTTCAGTGATCAATTATATGTTACTTAATTCAAACTAACATCCTAGGGTCTCTTTGGGAGAAGAATGTAAATACACACGTTTTTTTCTTTGGTTCTTTTTTCTCTGTGCTGTGAGTCAAACATTGGGCCTCATGTGTGCTAGATAAATGTTTTACCCTAAGCTATATCCCCATTATTCTATTATAACTCGATTTCTGAGTCATGTTAGCATGCAAAACATGCACTTTGAAAGATTTCAGAATGCAGTCTTCTGTTTCTACTCTACCTTTACTCCAAGCTTGACTTTTATTTTAATGTGTTTCTCTTTACATTAGTCAAGGTATACTTTCAAATGTTTAATGCAATCCTGAAAACCTTTATTCGGATCATCCACATTTACCCACACTGCTTTATTCCTTATATTCCAAGTGAAATTTTTTTGGCAAGTGAAATTTTTATAAAATATAATAATCGTAGAGCTTCAGTTTCAGAACTAAGGACTTGTAATATCATTCATGCTATCACTAACAAAATATGCTCAGAAAAGTAGTGATGAAGATTGTTGTTTGGATAACTTTCCTTTCTCATTTTCCTTGGGAAATCATTTCTCTATCAGGGAGACATCCATTGGACAGGACACACTATGATGTCTGAGAATGGGAAAGGAAAGGTTTAGATTTCAAAAAGCTTGATCTGGCTCACATAATGCTAAAAGCTTCATTTTCCTCATAGTTCTTGAAGAAATGTTTTATGCATTACTAAGATCTCAATCAATAATTATTACCTTGTCTATCACCTCAAATGCAATTTGACAGCCCAGCACAACTGTTAGAACTTCCAGAAAGTTTTCCTTATCTCCCCTTATGTTCTCTCTGTTCTTTTAAAATTTTTTATTTTAAGCAAATGTCCAGTTTTGAGATGTTCATTCATTAAATATCTGTTTATCACACTCACTGGAAACAAATTAGTTGAAAGGGAAATAGCAGGTAAGTCAATTAACATTTGTGAAGCCAGTTTCTTCTGTAAAAACTGTGGACTTTTAGTGAAATATTGCCAAGTTCCTTTCTAACTTTACAGTGTAAGAATCCACATTGATTGGTCTGGAAACCCAACTGGAAGGCCTGAGTTCAAACCCCAGTCCCTAAATAAATAAATAGGATACACATTGAACTCACATTGCAAATATCAAAAATATATAGCTTAAATATTAATTCTATGTAATGAATTTTAGTGATTCTGTATAAACACTAAGAAGATAAGAAAAGCTTAAAGTATAAAATCATTTGCAACTAAAAACAAAATTAATTGACAATACAGTCTTGAAGCAGTATTGTCAAATGAATAAGTATATAATTTGACTTTTGTATAAAAATAAAACTACTGTTTCCAATTACAAGTATTAAATTGCCAAATTTCCTATAATACATGCTATTTTACATGTCCTCAATAATACATCTTGTCCAGTATATATATATAATTTTCTCTTCTTTGTCTGGTATATGAAATGTATTTAAATAACCATAATGAACATGTTGCTAAGAAAACAGTAGGAATCAAGAACCATGTGTGAGAGAAAGCAGACATTCCTGTCCTAGTTCACCATGGATAGTTCAAGAAACCCAGGATTCAAAGTGCTTTGATTATTCTCCCTCTTTTTAGCAAAAGTTTATGCCTAACTGAGTGATCAGTAGGACAGTGATGCTCTTTATTTTATCCTATAAGGAATCTATCACATTTAGACAATGAAACAGAATGATCTTCCTTTTTAGAAACTTGAAACATATTTTTTAAAATATCATGAAATTTTTCTAAGTTACCTACATTTTATAAGTTGTTGTCACTTTGAAACTTTAGTAAAATGGGAGAAAGGGAAATGAGACTGCTCTTTTAAGTTTCATCCTACATGGGAAGCAAAATACTTTACTTTTATTGGTGTTGAGGTTGTAAATCATTTGCAGCAAGTGAGGAATAAAAACTAAACAATATACTGAACTAGAGAAACATAACAAATATATATAAAGTATAAGATTTCATGTTTTTCTTCTAATGCAAGTTTTTATGAAAATTTTAATGTAACTTTTTTCTTCGTCATGTATTTTTAAAACATACCATAAATGATATGCAACAATCAGAGACCTTCAACCCAGAGTTAATGACCATATGGTCAGCAAAGTGAGAATGCAAAGTAAATATGTAAAAAATATGTATTTAGCAATGAACACATGGACACCAAAATTAAAAACACAGTGCCATTTATATTTGTTCAAAGAATAAAATGATTAGGTAATAAACCTAACAGAATATGTATATAACTTATATGCTGAAAACTATAAAATGCTGATGAAAGAAATCAAAGATCTAAGAAGTGGAGAAATGTGCTATGATCACAGATTGTAAGACTCAGCAGGGGAAAGGCTTAATGTGATTCCTTCCAAAATTTCTTGTAGACGTGGATAAGGTTATTCTAAAACGTATATGGAAAATCAAAAGAACTAGAATTGTTAAAATGAGAATAAAATGGGAATAGACAAACTGCTTGATGTTGAAATTTATCATATAGCTGTATACATTTAGCTGTCAAGGCTAAATGGACCAGTGGACAGGTTCTAGGTTCTATATTATACTACAAATATGCTCAACTGATTTTTGACATAGGTACAAAATCAATAAAATGAAGAGCAGCCTTTTCAAATAATTCTGAGTAAATTGGCAAAAAAAATCAAAAAATGAAAAATTAATTCAAAATGAATCACAGTCTTAGCTGTAAACATAACAATAGAAAACTTTCAGGAAATGTAGGAGAAATTTTGTCGTTATAAAGATAGGTAGAGTTCTTGGATTTGACATCAAAAGAATAATAAAAAGAAAAATTGATACACTGCACACACCTCAATATTAAAAGTGTTTTCCTTGCAAAATGAACTACTACAAGGATAAAAGCATAAGTTGCAGATGAAGGAAACACTTGCTAACCACATAGTCACTAATCTAAAGTATAAAAATGCTCTCAAAACTCAAAAGTGAAAAGCCAAGCCATTTAATCAGAAAATGGAAAAAAGACATGAAAAGATATTTCTCAAAAGAAGCATGGTTTATGGTGTTGAATCACAGTGGGACTTTACTATACACCTATCAGAAAGCTAAAAATAAGAACTAGTGACCACATCAATGAATGTGAGGGCACAGAGAAGATGTATCATTCATACATTCCTGGTGGAAATGTAAAGTGTTATAGCCACTCAGGAAAACAGTACCACAGTTTCTTAAAAGCTTACACTTGATACCTCACAGCAGCATAGTAATTGCACTCCAGAGCAGTTACCTCAGAGAAATGAAAATTTATGTTCACTAAAAGCTACACACATGTGTAAAACCACTTTACTTGTAATGAGCAAAACCAGAAAACTACTCAGATGTCCTTTAGTGGGTGAATGATTAAACAAATGTGGTAACCAAATTGAAAAATTCTAGTCAATAATTTAAAAAGTAATTAGCTAGTTATTTATATAGCAATCCAGTTGACTCTCCAGAAAATTATTCTGAAAGAATAAATCCCAATTACAAAATGTTGCACATATTATAAGATGCCATTTATTTAACATTGTTGAAATGGCAAATCTATAGAACTAGAGCATGGGGTAGTGGTAAGGAATGGTTAGACAGAGGGAATGAGTGTGCTTTATAAAAGACCAAAGTGATGGATTCATGTAGTGATGAAGAAGCACTGAGTAGTAATAATATCAAGATCAAAATCCTGGTTGTGACATTGAACTTTTAGCATTTTGCAAGATGCTAGTATTGGGTGGAAACTGGGCAAAGGGCATGTAGCATCACTATTATTTCCTACAGCTGTGAGTAAATCCACAATTACCTCAAAACAAAATGTGAATTAAAAACTAAAGCCAGAAAATTTTGTGTGCTAAACCTGCTCATTACCTCAATTGTGGAGATGGTTCACTGAATGAATACATGCATGGAAATATACCAGATGGTACCCTTCAAATCTGTATGTGTGATGATAATTATACCTTAATAAAGCATCCACAAATTGTAAAAGCAATGACCTGTTCTACTCTCCCTTCAAAAAAAATTAATATATCTCCTCAGCTAAAGAATAAATTAATGAACTAGAAGATAAAGCATAATTAATACACAGAATGAATGCTATCTTTGTGAAAAGATAGCAAAATACAGAAAAGAGAGTGAGAGATACAGAGCATATGAGAAGATTAGCATGTATTGTGATTCTTAATCGTTATTGTCAACTCTTACATTGAAAAGCACCTAGGAGATCAGTAAAGCACACCATGAACGTGTCTGTGAAGCTGATTCCAGCGAGGATTAACTAAGGGGGAAAGACCTGCTCCTGAATATGGATGGCACCCTCCCATAGGCTGGGGGTTTGGGTGCAATAAAAAATAAAAAGGGAAAGAGAAGAGAGCCACTGAGTCTCTCTCTCTCTCTCTCTTTCTCTTCCCCTCCCTCCCTTTCTTTCTCTCTTCTCGCTTCCATTATGGATTGAGCTGAAACAAATCTTTCTCTCTGAAGTTGTTTCTGTCAGTTAATTGGACAACAAAAATGTCCAACTGACACATGTGTACCAGTAGACCCAAGGTTGACTAAAAACATAAAGCTTTAAGTTCAAGAAACTTTATAAAAACCAAGTATGATTAAAAAATACTCATTTTATTTTTCAAATTTTATTAACATATATTAGTTGTACAAGGAGATATATTGTGATATTTACATATGTGCTTACTGTATAGCTTAGATTTACTCCCTCTATAATTCTCCCTCTTCCTCCTCCCTCCTTTCTTAGAACAATTTCAACAGGGTTCATTCTTCTATTTTCATATATGGATATTAAACACATCCACCATATTCACCCTCTTTCAACCTTTCCTTACACCCACCCCTTTCCCAGTGGTACCCATCCCCAGACAAACCTATTTTACCCTTTCCCTTTATTTTTTAAGTGATCAATACTCATTTTAAGGAAAGATGTTTAATAAAATAATAATAGATAAGTACTTCACAATATGCTCTTAAAAAAGAATTGGCTTAATAACCTAGTGAGAATTGTGAGAAAATAAAAACAAAAAATAGTAGGAAAGTGTCTAATACTGAAATAAATCATAAACTTAAAGTAATTAAGGCCATGTTACTGACATATGAATAAATAAGTATATGGCTTGAATACAATTAAAACAGAAATAAATCCAAGGATTTTATTAGAAATTTACAGTGACGCCTCCTGTGGTGGTGTACACCTGTAATTTAAGCTACTCAAAGTCCAAGGCTGGTTCAGGCAAGAGTGTGAGACCCTACCAAAAACAAACTAAAACAAAAAGGGGTGGTAGAGCACTTGCCCAGTACTGGAAAAAAGAAATGAAAGAAATTTAAAGTGAGCTAAAGGTAGCAACTAAAATAATATAGGGGGAGGGTGTTTAAATGAAATTAGACAACTGTGTAGACATCTTGGAGAAAATGTTGAATGTTTAATGTTGAAGTCATACTTTACAATAAACAATGAAATAAATTTGAGACACATTAAAATATAATTTTGAAAATATACATGTGAAACTATAGTCCCAAATTTAATACTCTTGTACTAAAAATGGCTAAAAATATTGGATCTGTGTGGAATAAACTACCACAAAGATAAAAGAAAAGTTGAAGAAACACAGTGCAGTTTATACCATACAAAAATCTACCTTCATAGCATGTAAGTGCACCAACATATCAGATAGGAAGGTTGGCTTCTAAAAGAGACTCATAGGACCAAAATGTCAGGGCTTATAAATCTAATTTATTACAAAATAGGAATTAATTCATAATTAATTATTAATTGTTGATTTATTACAAAACAAGAATGCTGTTGCATTCTTATTGTATCAGCCAAAGTTTGTTCCACTAGAAGGGGTCCGGAGAGGCCAGGTGCAGGCACCTTTTCCTGCCTCTGTAAGTTTCTTTCTTGGATCAGGAAACATTGACATTTACACAGGGCTGGTACGTTAGTACCAAGGAGCTTGCGGGAGTCTCTTTTGAGGATTTTTATGTTTTGCTGATCACAAAGGCAAAATTGTGCTCAGGCTTCCTAAGCAGCAGAAGTCTTTCAGGGTCTCATTATGACTGGGGACAAACCACCGATTATACTCTTACCAATAACTGAAGATATCAAACTACTATAATCTGGCTCCCAAATTCTCAGACCCATGGTTACAAAGATACACTATTCATCAGTATGCTTTACTTGTCTGAAGGTTGGTGCTATGTGAGAAAACTTCAGAAACACTGCTGAAACTAATTCCTTGCTATTTCTCACAGCACAATAAAATAAAGGAAAAGACTTGAAACTCAATTTAGGTTATTACAAAGGAAATAATCATGCATTTCATAGAAAAAATTTATCTGACTTTCATCAATGAGAGTAAAAAATAATTTCAGCCTCAAACATAAAAAGGTAGCTTCAAATTCAAATGATGTTGAAATACCATGTGGAAGATAATCAGGGAATATCTAATATCATTTAAATGTCTACAGTTGTTGACCTAGATACTTACTTTACAAATACACTTGCACACATGTGAAATGAGGCAATTTTTCTTTCTGTAATGCAAAGTAATTATCTATTGTCTAAAAAACAATAGAGAATTGGTGAAGTTAATCATGACACATCCATGCAATGGAATCCTGAATGGTCATAATGACAGAACAACAGAAAGTTCATGTCCTGACATGGAATGAGAACTTATAAATACCTAAATAATAAAATAAAATGTACACTAGGTAAGCAGATTGTCACCATCGTTGTAGAGGAGTGAGAGGGAATTTTACATGTATTAGTTTGTAAAATTAAATATATCTCTGGTAAAATATAAAAGAAATTGGCAAAGCTATCTTCTCTTGGGGAGTGAAATGACTAGGTGAATAAAGAAACAGAGATGACAAAGAGGTTCTCAGCTCTGCAATCTTTGTAATATTTGGTTCTTGAACAATGTGAAGTTCAAACAAAACCTAAAACAACACAAACTTAAGTCTCAAAAATAACCAGTAATTTATTTTCATTTGTGTTGAATGATGACTTTGTTATAAAGTGTCAGTATTTTGTTAGGGATGAGTGTCATTGTTTTCAGGGTTCCAGGTGTCCATTCTTGCAATGCAGCAGCAAGAAAAACTCATGCACCAGGACAGCTTATTGCTGAACTTTACACAGTGGAAGAGCAACTACACTCTTCAGATGCAATACTGCCACACCTTGATGCACAACTCTTCCAGGTCAGGTAATTGACATAAAGCCTATGTTCACAGTGGGGATCCAAATAAATGCACATATTCGCAAAGGAAGCAGTGGCACATGCCGTTAAATCACTAGTCAGAATTTCATAGAAGGGATGACATAGTTTTGGCTGCTCTGTAGTTCAGTCTTATATGTATTTTCCAGTAGTATGTGGAAAAATACTAAGGTTCCAAAAAGTTTAGCTAAACAAAAGGTATAGTAAAATGTCAAGGTGGAATGTGTATGATTAGTAGGATAGATTTTTAAAAAGAAACATTATGCCAGGTGCCTGTGGTTCATGCTTATAGTGCTAGCTACTTAGGAGACTGACAGCAGGAGGATCACAGTTTAATGTCAGTAGAGGTAAGTAGCTTTCAAGACTCCATTTCCAAAATACCCAGAGCAAAATAGACTTGAGGTGTGGCTCAAGTGGTAGGGCACCTGCTTTGAAAACACAAAGCCCTGAGTTCAAGCCCCAGTCCCACCAAAGAAAAGGCAACATTACCTTTTATCTACCCACTCAAATTTGTAAATGTATTTAATTTCTGATATGTTTAGTTTAGCTTCTGCTTTACATTCAATTATAGGTAACCATTTGGGCAGAAAACTGATTTTTTTTAAATGAGAGTATTTACCATAAAATAACTATAGCATTTAGTATTCATCTTTTTCAAAGTTACTCAAATTTTATATTGCTTATGAGTTTTTTAAATTTAAAATAGTATTTCTACCTGTTTTACAGTTTGTCAAGTATTCTATGATTACTTAATTTGGTAATACTCCAGCACATAGTTTAGAGAATGAAGTTCCCTATAGTGGATACCATTTAAATACTGTAATCGTCAGTGAGTTAGGTCAAAAATCTAGTTCCTTCTGATTGGAATGTAATCAAATAGATGCTTGAAGAATAGCTGTGTGCTTAACAATGCTTTTCTATATAACAGACTATTCCAAACATGAGTGAGGCCAACCTCTGAGTCATTAACTTTGAATACAGTGACACTACCCATTTCTGAAACCTGTACCTCCAACATGTTTGCTAACCCTCCAGATATTATTGTCATCTCTGATTACACTATATCTTTAACTTAACCAGGACTCTGATCTGCAATGATTCCAAAGGATATTGAAGAGCTTTATGCAACTCAGTACCTGAGCAATAAGAGCTATTGATGAAAACTTTTCACCATAAATAGAGGACCACTCTCTACCAACTAGAGTTCTGAAGTTCCTGAGTTTTTCCCTGTATAGAACTGTGCCACACTCTCTTGGTTAAATTCTTGTTCTTTGGTTCTATGCAATTGATAGGTCTTATTTTGTGAATACATACTTTCTTAAGACAGGTTCTGTAAAACTTACTAAATATTAAAGCTTCATTCTTGGTTATGGCAAAGTCCTAAAATGAGCATATTGCTGATTTATGCTGTTTTAATTTTTCTCCCCTACATGTTTTCAAGTCACTCCCAAAGGCACATTATTTGCTCTCTTCATTATATATCAAATATTTTTTTCTTTAAATCTCAGAGTTTTAAACATCAACTTGAGGCTTACAGTTCAACCCATTTCAGTAAGATTAACAGACATGAAACAGCAAGCAAACCAACGACTACAAACGATGTTAATTCAAGGAAAGAAAGATGGGTAAAACTGGAAAAATGAGATCAATTTTTACAGAGAAAGATTTGAGTAAAGATTGCCAAATTAATTTGACCAAAACCAACTCTTAGAGATTTATTTCAGGTAGAAATTATAAAAATCTTACTGTTTTTAGCCTCAAAGAAACTGGAATTAATAAGTGCTGTAACGTGGGTACCATTTAGTTACAATGTCCTGTTTTACTGGAGGTAATCCAGAGGTTACTTGGAAGATATGTGTGACTAATATTTTACAATGATAATAAGGAAAATTCTATATTTGCAACCCATAAATGCAGATCTTGTCCACACAACTGGATTCAGAAAGGAGGAAGTTGTTACTATGCCTCTGAAATTTGGAGTATCTGGCACACCAGTAAAGAGTATTGTTTGAAGGAGGGCTCATCTCTTCTACAAATTGACAGCAAAGAAGAAATGGTAAACAGTTTTAAGGGCTCACGTCATTCTGAAAAAACTATGTTTGTTACTAAAAGAAAACACAGATTCTCATCAGATAAAATAACTTAATTTTCTATAATAATAGTTTCTAGTGAAAAGCTTAAAAGAGAAAAACTAGAAATTAGAAAATTAGTACAATTTATTTTCCTTTAATGAGGAAAAACTAAAAACAGGTTGGTTTTCCAGAAATCAACGAGACTATGTTAGTTTTATCTTCTTGGTTAGTAGAAAAGTGGGGGAGCAGAATGGATATTCGAACATGCTGATTCATTCCAAGACATACACACATTATAATTGTACATACATTTTATATGTATTGTTTTCAATGTCACTGAGAAATAAAATAACCTGTAATAATCTTGTAATCATCAAGAAGAAACAGAAGTATGAAAACTGAGGTGATATGCTGGGTGTGATGGCACACTGGAAGCTGAAGCAGGATGATCACAAGCCATCCTAGGCTACATAGTGAGATCCTGCCTCAAAAAAAAAAAAAAAAAAAGAAAGTAAGAAAGAAAGAAAAGAGTAGAAGAAAAAATTAAAGTGATGAATAGTTCTAATAAAAATAAATACTTGCTCAATGAAATGTTTAATTCACTAATGTCTTAACAAGTAAACAATAAGATGCTTCCTAAAATCATTCTACCCGTAAATGTCTGGAATATAATTCATAATTACCACATTTCTCACCTTATGGAAAATGCATATATGCTATGTTTACTAATTAAGTGAAGTTCATTTCTACAAGAATAATGGAAAGCAAATTTGTTAAGGATATGCAGTAAACAAAAAATACTTGAAATAAGTTATTATAACTTCACAAAATTACTTTCTAGGAAAACTTGATGACAAAATTAAAAGTGTTTCCTTTAACAAAAGGTGCTTACATTAAGTTGCATCTGGAATCTTCAAAGCTATCTCCCACAGTGAAGTATGCTCAGAAAGAGTAGTCTGTGTGGCACATGATGCCAAGGATATTTTTACTTCTGATAATGATCAGCATAATATTTACCTTGTTTCAACACATACTGTTAGACTTTGAATCTATTGAAACTATTTTCATACCAGACTCCATTTTTCCCATAGTCTTTTTAACCATATTGAGAATACAGCAATAGGAAAAATCTACAAGATATTTTCTGGCTAAGCAAAATATCAGACTTTATATTTCACAGGAGTTTTGTTTGTTGTTGGTTTTTCTCTGTTCACATTTTAGGTCTTGTTCTTGTAGGATTTTATCACCCACAACTTCGAGAAGATCAAACTGGGCTACAATTACTGGGTGGGACTATCTCAAGATGGACTCAACAGAGCTTGGCTTTGGCAAGATGGTTCTTCTCTTCCCCCTGACCTGTAAGACTCTAAAACTACAAACAAAGGGAGTTCGAATCCTTATTTTATTTCATACCTTAGATTTCCTGTAGAGGACATATTTTTAGTCTTCTGATATTTTTAGTCTACTGATTGGAATTAATGTAATGATGAGCTAGCTTCACAGCTTCTACATCTTCATCCTTCTTATCCCTGATACTAGAAAATTCATGCCAAAATTCAAGTGTCTGAATGAACAATATAGTATAATTATTGAGTATGCATCCATTGTATCACTTAATATTTAAGAACACTAAGGGAAAGAGACTGTAATAATTAAGCAATATCCATTGAAGGTTTTCAGATAGAACTGAAGAGATTGGTGAACAGGATCAAGTGTCTTACTATTTTGAGAATTAAGAGTCAGGAAAGAGATACTAATTACAGCGTATCTTTGTGTATACATGACTTCTTTTTCTGTATAAGCCATTATTTCAAATTATATTAACATATTTTTACTAAGACAAAGCAGCTGTTACTGAAGAAGTAGGATAGAACCACCACAGGAGGGTGCCATGTTAAAACAAAATAAAACATCTCTCAAGAGTTACCCTCAAATCTAACCTCAGATTTGCTGACTTGTCTTCCAGGTTGCCAATTAAAAGCCTCCATTCAACTACCCAGGTCTGTGGATACCTCAAAGACACTTCCCTTTTATCAGATAACTGCCACAATTACAAATATTTTATATGTGAGATGCACATACTCAGATCCTGTATCTGAAAGAAATTGCTCAGAGCCATCTCCTATTACATGTATTTGAAACACACCATTGGAAAATCTGCCACAAGAAGCCTAGGAGCAAATACAGAAGTGAACCCATGTATGGGTTATGAAACCTGATTCCAGGATCTCAAAACTTGGCTTTGTATTTATAGTTTATAATCATCTTTAGTACTTCCTTGATTCCAATTGACATTGTGAAAATTATTAGGAGTAAAAGTGACTTGAAATTGCAGAGGACCAAAAAATCAAATGCATTGAGGACAAATTGATTTAACTTTATTATGTTTTTTAGAAAAATTCAAAGTAACTGTAAATACTATTCAGAAATCTATAAATCTTTGCCAGAGGTTGTGCAGCTGGCTGATTTTTTAAATAAATAAATTTGCCTTCTAAACTACTGGCTGCCAGATGTTTCTATGTGTTTGCTAAGTTTCCAAGCATTACATTCTTAAATTGATAGAGTGAGGAGACAGAGATGGATTTCTAAACTGAAAGGAAGAAGGAAGAAAAGGAAGGAAGGAGGGAGAAGGCTCCTCTCTGCAGTCCAGTTGTTTTCTTTTGAGTTCCACTTGGAGAATTGAAGAACTAGAACTTAACATAAATGGATGCTGGTATCTGTATGTCCTCCAATAAAGGTGTGAGCCTTGCTCCTTCTCACTAGCCATCCCCACAAATCAAACACCTCAAGGTCTCTAACATCAAGATTAATAATCTAGCACTTATTCTTTTATTCATTTATTCATATGTGCATACATTGTTTAGGCCATTTCTCCCCCCTTCCCCACACCCCCTTCCTCTCCCCCATCAGCCCCCTCACTTCCAGGCAGAACCTGTTCTTCCCATTTCTCCAGTTTTGTTGAAGAGAAGACGTAAGCAATAATAAAAAACACAAAGCGTTTTTGCTAGTTGAGGTAATAGCTATACAGAGAGATTCCTAGCATTGCTTTCATGCACAAGTGTGTTACAACCCAAATTGATTCATCTCTACCTGACCTCTTCACTAGTTCCAACCACCATCCCATATTGACTTCTGTTGCTTTAATGTTTCTATATTAGCTTCTCTCCAATGGTGACAGCAATACTTTCAAGTTTTGGGTTTCCTACCTATCCCCATATCTCCCATATGTGCTTTCCCCTTTGCATGTGACCCAAGTCTAACAACATTGTTGCATTTGCCCTAGATCTAAAGTCTGCATATGAGGGAAAACATACAATTTTTGGTCTTCTGAGCCTGGCTAACCTCACTGAGAATGATGTCCTCCCGTTACTTCCATTTGCTTGCGAATGATAAGACTTCATTCTTCTTCATGGCTAAATAAAATTCCATTGTGTATAAATACCACATTTTCTTGATCCACTCATCAGTAGTGGGGCATCTTGGCTGTTTCCATAACTTGGCTATTGTGAAAAGTGCTGCAATAATCATGGGTGTGCAGGTACCTCTGGAGTAACCAGATATATCCCCAGGAGTGGGATTGCTGGATCAATGGCAGATCTATGTTTAGATTGTTAAGAAGCCTCCATATTTTTTTCCAGCGTGGTTGAACTAGCTTGCATTCCCACCAGCAATGTATGAGAGCTTCTTTTTCCCCACATCCTTGCCAACACCTAAAGTTAGTGGTGTTTTTTATGTTAGCTATTCTAACAGGGTGAGGTGGAATCTTAGTGTGGTTTTGATTTACATTTCCTTTATAGCTAGAGATGGTGAGCATTTTTTTCATGTGTTTTTTGGCCATTTGAATTTCTTCTTTTGAAAAATTTCTGTTTAGTTTACTTGCCAATTTCTTTATTGGTTCATTGATCCTGGGAGAGTTTAATTTTTTAAGTTCCCTATATATTCTGGTTATCAGTCCTTTGTCTGATATGTATCTGGCAAATATTTTCTCCCACTCTGTGGGTGGTCTCTTTAATTTAGAGACCATTTCTTTTGTTGTACAGAAACTTTTTAATTTTATGTAGTCCCATTTGTCCATCCTTTCTTTTAGTTGCTGAGCTGCTGGGAGTTCTACTGAGGAAGTCCTTGCCTATACCTATTACTTTCAGAGTATTCCCTACTCTTTCCTGTACTAAATTCAGAGTTTTGGGTCTGATATTTAGGTCCTTCATTCATTTTGAGTTGATACTAGTATAGGCTGATAAACATAGATCTAGTTTCAGTTTTTTGCAGACAGATAACCACTTTTCCCAGCAACATTTGTTGAAGAGGCTGTCTTTTCTCCATCGTATATTTTTGGCATCTTTGTCAAAAATAAGGTGGGCATGCTGTGTGGATTCATATCTGGATCCTCTATTCTGTTCCACTGTTTTTCATGTCTGGTTTTGTGCATGTACCATGCTGTTTTTATTGTTATTGCTTTGTAATATAGTTTGAAATTGGGTATTGTGATACCTCCAGCATTGCTCTTTTTGCTTAGAATTGCCTTGGCTATTCACAGTCTCTTGTGTTTCCAAATGAACTTTAGGGTAGATTTTTCAAACTCTGTGATGAATGTCATTGATTGGGGTTTTGATGGGAATTGCATAAAGCATGTAGATTTCTTTTGGTACTATAGCCATTTTTATTATGCTGATTCTACCAATTCATAAGCATGGGAGATCTTTCCACCTTCTGCAATCTTCCTCAATCTCTTTCTTCAGGGGTTTGTAGTTCTCTTTGTAGAGGTCATTCACAACCTTTGTTAAGTTAACTCCTAGGTATTTGATTTTTTTTGAGGCTATTGTAAATGGAATTGTTTATATATATTCTTTCTCATTTTGTTCGTTTTTTGGTGTATAGAAGAGCTAATCATTTTTGTAAGTTGATTTTGTATCCTGCCACTTTGCTGAAGCTGTTTTTACTCTCTAGGAGTTTGTGGTAGAGTTTTGGGGGTATTTAAGACAAAGGATCATGTCGTCTGCAAATAGGGATATTTTAACAGTTTCTTTACCTACTTGTATTCCTTTTATTTCTTCTTCTTGCCTAATTGCTCTGGGTAGAAATTCCAGAACAATGTTGAATAGAAATGGGGACTGTGTGCACCCTTGTCTCATTCCTGTTTTTAGGGAAATGGCTTCAGTTTTTCTCCATTAAGTATGATGTTGACTATAGGTTTGTCATATATAGCCTTTACAATATTAGGTAATTCCTTCTATTCCTAGTTTTCTTAGAGCTTTTATCATGAAGTGGTGTTGGATCTTGTAGAAGGCTTTTTCTACATCTATTGAGATGATCAAGTGCTTTTTTTGTCTTTGCTTCTATTGATGTGCTGTATTACATTCATAGGTTTGCATATGTTGAACCACCCCTGCATCCCTGGGATAAAGCCAACTTGGTCATGATAAATGATCTTTCTGATGTGTTGTTGAATGTGGTTTGACATTATTTTATTGGGGATTTTTGCATCGATGCTCATTAAGGAGATTGGTCTATATTTCTAATTTTTGGAGGTGTCTTTGGTTCTGTGATTATTTTAATGCTGGCTTCATAGAATGAGTTATTCCTTCCCCTTCTATTTTGTGAAACTGTTTAAGGAGAGTTGGTATTAGTTTTTCTTTAAACGTCTGATAGAATTCAGCAGTGAATCCATCAGGTCCTGGACTTTTCTTTGATCTATGGTGTGATTTAGTTCTAGGATTTCTTTATTGATTTTTTCTTTGGATGACCTATCTATTGATGATAGGGGGTGTTAAAGTCTCCCCCTATCACTGTGTTGGAGTCTATTTATGATTTAAGTCCTTCAGAGTATGTTTGATGAAATTGAGTGCATTGACTTTGGGTGCATATAGTTTGATAATTGTTATTTCCTTTTGGTGTATTTCCCCTTTTATTAGTAAGGAGTGTCCTTTTTTTCTTTCTTTTTTTTATTGTTTTGTTATTCATATGCGCATACAATGCTTGGGTCATTTCCCCCCCTGCCCCCACCCCCTCCCTTACCACCCTCTTCCCTCCACCCCCTCAATACCCAGCATAAACTATTTTGCCCTTATTTCTAATTTTGTTGTAGAGAGAGTATAAGCAATAATAGGAAGCAACATGGGTTTTTGCTAGTTGAGATAAGGATAGCTATACAGGGCATTGACTCACATTGATTTCCTGTGTGTGGGTGTTAACTTCTAGGTTAATTCTTTTTGATCTAACCTTTTCTTTAGTTCCTGGTCCCCTTTTCCTATTGGCCTCAGTTGCTTTTAAGGTATCTGCTTTAGTTTCTCTACATTAAGGGCCTCAAATGCTAACTAATTTTTTAGGTGTCTTATCTATCCTCACACCTCCCTTGTGTGCTCTCGCTTTTATCATGTGCTCATAGTCCAATCCCTTTGTTGTGTTTGCCCTTGATCTAATGTCCACATATGAGGGAGAACATACTATTTTTGGTCTTTTGGGCCAGGCTAACCTCACTCAGAATGATGTTCTCCAATTCCATCCATTTACCAGCAAATGATAACATTTCATTCTTCTTCATGGCTGCATAAAATTCCATTGTGTATAGACACCACATTTTCTTAATCCATTTGTCAGTGGTGGGGCATCTTGGCTCTTTCCATAACTTGGCTATTGTGAATAGTGCTGCAATAAACATGGGTGTGCAGGTGCCTCTGGAGTAACTTGTGTTCTTCTTTATCTTCTTTGATCAATGTAAATTTGAAATCTACTTTGTCCAAGATTAGTATTGCTACTCGTGCTGGGTTTTGGTGGCCATTGGCTTGGTAAATCTTCTGCCAGCCTTTCACCCTAAGTCAGTTCTTGTTTCTGTCAATGAAATGGGTCTCCTGTAAACAACAGATTGTTGGATCTTCCTTTTTAATACAGGGGGAGTTAAATCCGCTAACATTCAGTGTTAGTATTGACAGGTGTGTGGTGATTCCTGTCATTTAGTTGTTTTTAAAGTTTAAGGGTTTGATTGTATACAGCTGAATTAATGTTACTTTCTGATTCCTTGTCTTCTCTTGTGGTTTGGTACTGCCTGTCCTCTCATGGTTTTGTTTGCTTTTATTTTCTGTGTGCAGAATTCCTTGAAGAA